TCCCGAGCCACCTGGCAAGAGCTGCACCTCCACAGTACCACCCGGCACCACTACTGCAGTATAATCCGGTGCTCAGCCCCAGTATTGCCCGGCACCGCCACAGTATAATCCAGTGCCCCCAGTCTATCTCAGCCCAGCCCAGTCCCTCTTCCATGGGACCCAGCTCCTTCCCTGATTGACCCGGGCTACGTAGAGAGGTACAGGAGACTAAACCCTTCCACTTTTGCAGGCAAGTCCTCTTTCGAAGATGCCCAGTACTGGTTGGCAGAGACAGAGAAGGCTTTCAAGACCTTAGGAGTGGTTCCTAAGCAGAGGGTTACTCTTGCTTCCTACATACTGGTGGAGGAAGCAGATCGTTGGTGGGAGCTCAAGCAGACCACCCTGCCTACGCCTGCCACTTGGGAGTAGTTCCTAGCAGCCTTTCATGCTGAGTACCTCCCCGAGCGCATTCGACATTTAAAGGAGACGGAGTTTGTTCAGCTGGTCCAGGAAAACATGACGGTGTCGGAATATGCTCGTAAGTTCCTAGAGCTGGGCCGATACTCCCCTGAGACATTGATGAATGAGGGCAGAAAGGCCAGGAGGTTTCAGTGGGGCCTCCACCCAGAGATCAAACGGCACTTGTTGGTACTAGAGCTCAAGACATATTCAGCTATTCTGGCAAAGGCGCAGATCGTGGAAAGGAGTTTCAACACCCTTTCCCAGTCATCAGGGAGTCACAGACCCTCAGCTCCACCCCACAGACCAGCACCTACTGCGCCTGTCCAACAAAATAAGAGGCCCAGACCGGCGATCCAGGCTCCCGCTCAGGCTCCAGGGGCAGCACGTGGCAAGATCTGTCAGCACTGTGGCAGGGATCATGGGAACCGAGCATGCTATCGCCTCAACAACACCTGTCACATATATGGTAGTGTCCAGCACTATGCGAGAGAGTGCCTAAGGAACCAGAATCAAGGAATACCTCATTTTCAGGGCAGGATTTACAACCTCACACAGCAGGATGCCAACGCCGACCCAGACATGGTACAGGGCAAGCCCAAAGAGGAAATTTGTATCTAAGAGATTCCAGTAGTTCGAGACTTTTCAGATGTGTTTACGGACGAACTGCCCGGACTACTAGTGGACAGGGAAGTTGAGTTTACTATAGACCTAGAACCAAGCACCCAGCACATTTCGGTTGCTTCTTACCGCATGAGCCGCGTTGAGATGGAAGAACTGAGAAAACAGATCACTGAATTGCAAGACAGTGGTTTTATTAGACACAGTGTGTCTCCTTGGGGTACCGGAGTCACGTTTGCCAGAAAGGGAGATAGAACGTTGAGACTGTATATTGATTACAGAGGATTAAAAAAGGTTACAATCAAGAACAAATATCCCTTTCCTAGAATTGACGACCTCTTCGATCAGCTGCAGGGTGCGCAAGTCTTCTCCAAAATAGACCTGCGATCAGGTTACCATCAGGTGAAAATAAGAACAGAAGACATCCCCAAAACGGCCTTTCGAACCAGGTACGAACACTATGAGTTCCTGGTCATGCCACTTGGGCTAACCAACGCCCCAACCATCTTTATGGATCTGATGAACAGGGACTTCAGAGAATTCTTGGATCAATTTGTTATTGTGTTCATCGATGACATCTTGATATACTCAAAAAGTAGAGAAGAGCGTGTTCATCATCTAGCCCAAGTTTTGCAGGTCATCAGAAAAAAGAAGCTATATGCAAAGTTGAGTAAGTGTGGATTATGGCTTGAGCAGACTGCCTTCCTAGGACACATCATATTGAAGGAAGGAGTATCAGTGAATCCCGAAAAAGTTGAAGCAGTACTTGGCTGGAAAAAGTTAACATCAGTTAAGAAGATCCGTAGCTTCCTGGGAATGGCAGGTTATTACCGTAGGTTCGTCAAATGATTCTCTAGTCTAGCGGCTCCCCTGACCCGACTCATAAAGAAGAATGCCAAGTTTGAGTGGAATGAAGACTCTGAGAGAAGTTTTTCAGAATTAAAGGAGCGGCTGACCACTGCACCCATACTGGCTTTACCAAGTGGATCAGAGAGATATACAGTTTATAGCGATGCCTCCTATCTAGGTCTGGATTGTATCCTGATGCAGGATGGGAAGGTCATAGCTTATGAGTCTAGACAGTTAAAGAATCATGAGAAGAATTACCCTATCCATGACTTGGAACTTACCGCAATCATACACACCTTGAAAATCTGGCACCATTATTTATACAAAGAGACCTTCTAGATCTATACCGATCATAAGAGTCTGAAGCACATATTTACTCAAAAGGATCTCAACATGCGTCAGAGAAGGTGGATGAAACTCCTTAAAGACTATGATTGTGATATCTTGTATCATCCGGATAAGGACAACATGGTGGCAGATGCCCTCAGCAGGAAAAGTGCAGGTATCTTAGCCCATTTAATGGTTTCAGAATGCAGGCAAATTGGGGCTACACAATAGGTTCAACTTCAGGACCTGAAGAGAGTCGCATGTTTGGGTCATCCGACCGTCCAGTCCTAGTTAATACAGAGAATAAGGGAAGCCCAGTCAGTCGACCCCGCCCTAGTAGCCCGCAAGAATGATGCAGAACAGGGAGTGAGCTCAGAATTTCGAATCTCTGCCGATGGGTTACTCCATTTTCAGGATAGGGTATGTGTCCCAGATGACAGTGAGTTAAAGAGAGACATCATGACAGAGTCCCATAGCTCCAAGTTTGTCATGCATCCCGGAAGCACCAAAATGTACCAAAGCATGCGACCCCGGTTTTGGTGGAATGGGATGAAGAGGGACATAGTTGACTTTGTATCTAAATGCTTGGTATGTCAACAGGTCAAGGCAGAACATCAACGTCCAGGCGGGTTACTTCAGCCCTTACCGATCCCGGAGCCATCCTCAGACTGGTGGACAATCAGAAAAGACAATCTGTACACTTGAGGATATGCTCTGAGCTTGTGTTCTTGACTCTGGGGGCCATTGGGACCACCATCTACCCCTAATAGAATTTGCCTACAACAATAGCTACCAAACGAGCATTGGCATGGCTCCGTACGAGGCGTTTTATGGGCGCCCATGCAGATCACCGATTTGTTGGGAAGAAGTGAGCGACAGAAAATTGTTCGGCCCGGAGTTGGTGGAGGAGACCACGTCTAAAATAGTTAAAATCATAAAGAACATTCAGACGGCTCAGAGCAGGTAGAAGAGTTATGCGGACACCCGGAGAAGAGATTTAACGTTTGAAAAAGGCGACCGAGTGTTCCTTAAGGTCACTCTTTTCAAAGAAATTAGTAGGTTCGGCAGGAGAAAAAAACTGAACTCCCGATTTATTGGACCATATGAAGTCTTAGACATGAATGGTACTGCCGCCTACAGACTAGCACTGCCTCCAGAGCTCTCCAAGATCCACAATGTGTTCCATGTATCCATGCTACGTAAGTACAATCCGGACCCCTCTCATGTCTTGGCTCATGAACCACTTCCACTCCAAGAGGACTTATCTTATGAGGAAGTATCAGTCAGTATCACGGACCGAAAGAGCAAGATACTCCGCAACTTGGAAATATCATTTGTAAAGGTAGTGTGGTAGAACCACTCGCCAAGGGAGGCTACCTGGGAGCTAGAATCAGACTTTAGAGCCCAGTATCCCCATTTGTTCAACCGAGAGTAAGAAGAAAATTTAGGGGACCAAATTTTTTTAAGGGGAAGAGAGTTGTAACACCCAAATTTTTTGTCTATTTTTATTTTTATTTTTATTTCATAAGGTTTTAATTTAATTTAATTTAATAGAAATAAAATTAATAATAATAATAAAATTGGATAAAATTATTTTTGGGATTTAATTGAAATTGATTTTGAGAAAAATGGGTGAAAATTTAGATTCTGTGGGTGTTTTTGAAAGAAAAATCGAAAATCAGAGGTCAAAGCACAATTTAAAAAAATAGTGCCACATCAGCAGCCGCGTCAGCAACCCGGTCAGCAGCCCCGGCCAACCAAGACACGCCGCGTGGCAGGGACGCTGATGCGGGAAGCCACGCAGGACGGAGACACGTGGGCGATCCGCGTGCACGTGATCGAATGGCCCAGATCCGTTCCCGCGCGCATAGACGGCCCAAATCAAAAGCGCACATGGACGGCCCAGATCTCACGCGTGCGGATGACCCAGATTTGATCACGCACGAACGGCCCAGATCGCATTGCGATAGACGACGCATATTTATTTCTAATTTAATCACAATCTGACGGTCCATATTAAATCATGATGGACGGCTCAGATTAAAAGGGAAAGGTTATAAATAATCGCATCCACACCCAACCTCAAACCCTAGCCGTGAGAACCCTCGCCGGAGAAGACGACCCAGCCACCGGAGGAACCCACCGCCGCCACTCGCCGCCGCACCGAAGGATTTTTCGGCCGCCAAACGAGGTAAAATTTCTCCACTTGGCTCGTTTTTCGATCCTGAACCTCTCTGTAGCCAAACCACCGGCTGATTGGCCGAAAAACACCGCCGAAGTTCAGCGCGGCTGCTGTAGATTTTCTCAATTTTTGCCTCCGATGAGGCCCTTTCCGGTTCCCGTTCGATGTAATTTTTATACCACTGTGATCACTGTCCTTTTCTCTACAGGTTGACCGGAGCAAAACACGAAATCGCAACTCGCGCCGGAAAGGCCGCTGTACCCGAGTGCTTGGCCACCGGTAAGTCTCGATTTTTTGTAATTTTTTGGCCCACCGAGAGACCTAGGGGTGTTTTATCACAGGAACTAATGCAAGTTTGACCGAATTCGAACAAAAACGGCCAACCCAAGGTGGATCGCCTCTGTGGGCGGCGGTGCCGTCGCCAGAGCATGGCGGAGCCACCGTGCCAGAATTTCAAAATTGGCCGAAAGGGCCCTGAGTCTAATTTGGGATTTTTATGGGGACATGTGCAGGTACCAAAAGTGTGTTTCAATTTCTAGATAAAAATTCAGAGAATCTAGGGACTGCCCGTAGGTGCAGAACCCGATTTCAGACTCCGAAACAAGTAAGGATCCCTCACCCTATTTTTTATCACAGCATTAAAGTTTAATAAATGATAAAACAGTATTTTATGAATTAATAGATATGTACAATTAATTAAGATTGCTAATGGGGCCCGAACCTGATGTATTTGTCGG